AATTCATTTCTACTAAAGGAGGATTTGTATAAAACTATTGTACTCTAACACCTAGAACAGAAAAAACACACCAAATCAGTCAATAAATATTGCTGAATAAAAGTTTTTTCTTTCTGCAATAGTGGTTGATGAAACTACTGCCAGTTAATTTAATCTGGTCCACTATGTTTTTGTAAAATAAAATATTATTGGGACACACACACACACACACACACACACACACACACAAAAGAATACACCATCTAGAACAGTAGTGAAAGACTAAAATAAATCAAAAGGAACATGAAGCTGGTTTTAAAGAGAAATACTGCATGTTGTACATAGAGTGGAGAAGATGTGAAAATAAATAAGCCAATAGTGTTCCTCTCTTGACTTCTGCTCCTTCACTCTTTCCATAATGCTGTTTGACTTAAGCTGCCTTCCTGCCAAGTCTGATCCCAGAAGCTCCAGAGCCACTCCTATACCTGGCACACAGAGCCGTACTTTCCCATTCCACCTGTTACTGCCTCACTGCTCCTAATCTCAGGTCCACTCTCTTCTGCCACAGATGCTGTTCCAATCTGGAGCCACTGTCTTCAAATCTGTGACGCTAGCCACATTCCCTCCCTCTGAGCATGTGACCTTGCTTTGCCTTTTCCTGAGGTGCTCGCACGTGAACAGCTCCCTCTCAATCTGGCGCTCCTCTTCACCAAGTTAATGACCATGGTTCTTGATCCCATCACCCCACCCTTCTGCAGTGTTCCTGCCAGAGTTCTCCATAGTCTCTCCTTGCCATCCACTCCTTCCACAGCTTTCTCTTACCATTTTTCTTCTACATTTCTAGGGATTGAACCTGTACCAGGTGGGTACTACACTGCTGAGCTATGTCCCTCCCCAGCCCTTCTGATTTTGAATCAGGATCTCACTAAATTGCCCAAGCTGGCATTGAACTCATAATCCTGCCTCAGCCTCCTAGGATTGCAGGTGTGTGCCACCATGCCCAGCCCTCTCCTGACTGATTTTATAAAGAAACCTTCCCAAATCGTCTCTTTCGAGCTTCTACCCACCTCTTCTCTTCCACCAATCCATTTTCAAGAATACTCATTGAACTAACTCATTTTCCTCACCAATCTCTTGCTCCATGGCTTCTGCATGGATCTTCTGACCCAACACTTCATTGATGCCATACACCTTAGGGACTGAATGCCACTTCATCCCAAACCTATCATCTCACATCTCTGTTATATCAGTAGGAGAAACTTTCTTGAGAGCTCACCATGCACCACAACAAGCAGTACCCAAATCTCATGGTCACTCCATTCCTTCATGTCCTGGGCTCCCTTAGCTCTCGTGCCTGGGTTGCCCACTCTCCACTGACAGAACTTCTCAATCCCTCCACAACCCACCAGAGAAAGCACCTCAGGTTTCTACCCCTAGCTTTTCTCTTCTCTCTTTATAATGCTATTCATTCTCCAGATTTTGAAGTTCACATCTACAAATGATTCCCAAATCTTTTTAATGCTCTTTTTTTTTTTTTTTTTTTTTTTTTTTTTTTTTTTTTTTTGTGGAACCAAGGATTGAACTCAGGTCCATGAACTTGCCAGGCAAGCACTTACTCTACTGAGCTATCTCCCTGGCCCCTGATCCCCAAATCTTTACATACAATGATCAACATATCCTATGGAAAACTTACTACCCACCTAAATTTGGGTTCATATTTATTTCTTTTATAAAATCTTTTAAAAAATCTATCACAAATAAAAGAAAATTTTAAAACATTAAAAAAGATACAGAATTTCAAAGCAAGATGACAGAAAATTAACAATGGTTCTTATATTACATATTGCTATCTTCAAAGTAGTTGTTCAGATTACCACATATAGGCATGCAACACACTATTTCTTCCAGGTTTCTGCTCAGGGTGTTGCCATTTGTCTTAACTTTCTAGGCCTTGAAACCTCAGAATTACCTTCATCCCTGTGTTCCCTTGTCACACGTCCCAGAAGATGAGGGATATCAAGCCTTTCTCTCCTCCTACTTTGACAAAGCAGGGCCTCCTTCCTCCCTTGCTCACTAATTTAACCTCACAAAATAACCCTCTTGGTCACAACTCTGGTCACACAAAGCTCACCTCTACAAATTCAGAACAATTGAAGGAAGTTTGTAAACCAAGGCACTGCTGTATTTTCTGCCTTGAATTAAGTTTTCTGCCTCAGCATTAAGTTGAACAGTGATCTATGTCATCCCTCACTACTCACCCACAAGCTCTTCAAGGTCCTAAGTCAGATTTGCTCTCAAAATCCCTACACAACCAAGCACACTGTCTTATAAGCTGTCATTGCTCCACAAATGTTCAACAGATGGACTATTTCCTAAGTGCTTCCTCCAGGAGTGTAACTCCTTACAACCTCCTCAGGAATACACAGTCTGACCTAAAGGGCCTGGGATCTGAAAGAGGCAACTAAAGAAACATGTTACCAAAAGGAACATTACAAACACGAATATGTTCAAGGTAGAAGTACTCAGCAGGGCACGAGCAGGATTAAGAAGATCCTAACGGATCTGGGAAGGGACAGTTTAATCAAGAAGACTTCCCAGAGGGGACTTTATGAGAAGAGCTGCCAACTCTTTCATCTTCTCTTCTCAGCCAATGTTTCCTAAGACCGCAGTCCATTTCTCTTACAGTACTCCCCACCTGAGGAGAGTGTCCTGGGTGCTGCTCTACCACTTCTTTATCAGTTTCCTCCTGTTTCTCAAACCCCAAAATGACAATGCAAAATAAAATAGAAACAGCAACTATTAGAGGCCATCAAAAACGTCTTAGAATATAGAGACACAAGGGTCGAATATTTAATATGTGAAGCAAATTACCTCTAAGCCTCCTCCTGTCTCAGCACAGTCTTACTTTGCCTCATGCACATCTCAGGATATTTTGATAGGCAGCCCACTGAACGTAATGTACTCACTTTGTAACTTCATTAAAAGAAAGCTACAAGGCCAGAGAAAATCACTTGCTGTCTTAGTTACTCTTCTCTCGTTGCTGGGACAAATACCTGACACCCAAAATGAAGGAAGGAAAGGTTTATTTAGCTCACAGTTACTGGAGGTTTCAGTCCATACTCAGCTGGCTCCAAGGCAGAGCAGCACACAGCAAAAAGCAACCTTTCATGGCGACCACAGAGAGGGATAGCAGCAGCTCAAGCAGTTAGCTTCTCTTCCCACCTTACATTGTGATGCAAATTACCTGCCCGGGGCAGGTGCAGCATCCACACCCACAGTAATCAATCACTAATTCCAGAAGCCGCCCCAAGACTGCATAAGGCTTTGGGGGGACACCTACACATAAACCATAACACCTGCTAAGATGCAAAATTCCAGATCTCTAACATTATCAATATAAAGTGAATAAAAGATGAAATTACTAAACTAGTTTGGTGTGGTTGCAGACACCTGTAATCCCAGCTACTCAAGTGGCTGAGACAGAAAGAACACAAGTTCAAGACCGGACAAGACTGTGTCTCAAAATAAAATGAAAATGGTTAGGGACATAGCCCAGCACTCCCTAGGTTCAGAGAGACATAACTGAATACCATCCTATGGAATACCACTGAGATCAACTCAGATGGCATTAACAGCAGAATGGAGTCATCTAATTATACCAGATCCTGTCCCAAGAGCTTGGGACACAGCATTGAACAACACAAAGACTTCAGAATATATATTCTCTTGGGAGAGACAAGCATCATGAAAACAAGAAGACATTATTTTCCCAGACATGGTAGTTAACACCTGTAATCCCAGCTACTGGAGAGGTTGAGTAAGGAAGACTGGAAATTAAAGCACAACCTGGGAGACCTAATGAGATTCTATCCAAAATAATTCTGTAAAGGGCTGGGAGCCTGGAATGGTGGCACACATCTATAATCCCACCACTCTAGAAGGGTGAGGTAGGAGGATAGCAAGTTCAAGCACAAGCTGAGCTATTTAGCAACTTGGCAAGATCCTGCTTCAATATTTAAATGTATTACATCTAGGGTTGAGAACATAGCTCAGTGCAAAGAGCCTGGATTCAATCCTACGTAACACAAGGACAGGGGCTGGGGATGCTTTTCAGCACTAAAATGTCTGCCTAACATGTCCAACACCCTGGGACCAATCTCCAGTATTGTAAAGATAAATATAATTTTAAATATGAACACTACTATGAAGAAAAGAGACAGTGCTAGAGTGTCTTTAATGGGGGAGGATGGAGAAGAGAGCTTTTAGCTGACAGAATTACAGGGGCAGGGGCCAGGGAGACGGCTCAGT